GTGAAAGTAGACAGCCAGGAGGAGGCGTGTAAGGCTTAGCCTTCACGCCACTCCGGGTGCTACAGGCAAACCTCGGCCGCGGCGCCCTGGCCCAGGACCTGTGGGTACACAGGATCCGGGAACTGGGCGCCGGGCTGGGGTTGGCCACCGAGCCGAACTGGATGCCGATCAGCAGCGAATGCTGGTTCGGCAGCCCGGACGGCTCGGTGGCCATGATGGTTGACCCTGCAGCGGGGACCCCTCCCTGTGTTTTAAGGAAAAAGGGGTCCTCGTACGTGGCGGTCGATTAGGGACCCGTGACTGTGGTGGGGGTGTATCTGCCCCACCACAGAAACAAAGCCGGACTTGGCAGCCCCGCCCGCATAAAAGGGATCCTAGACAGGGTCGGGGATTTGATACGCAAGTGCCATCCCCGATCTGTCGTGATTGCCGGGGATTTCAACGCCTAATCCGAGGAGTGGGGTTGCAGTTCCCGGCAGCGGCATCCCAGGGGCGAGGCGGTCATCGGCTGGGCGGCGGGATTGGGCCTTCTGTTAGTAAACAGTGGGTCCACCGGCACCTCCGTGAGGCCGGGAGGGGGTTCATCGGTCAATGACTTGACCTGGGCCTCCCTCTCGGCTGCAAGAACGATTTCGGAATGGAGGGTGGAGGCGGAGGGCGAGACGCTATCTGACCATAGATATATAGTCTGGGCCCTCCGCCTCCCCAAACCGAGACAGGTGCCGGCTCGCCGCCCCGGGGAGAGGACTTATCCTCTCCCAAAAAGATGAGCCCTCAGTCGACTCGATGTGGACAGGTTCCACATCGCCAGGCCACCTGGCATATAGAGCCAGGTGAGTGGGACCCCGGCCCCCAGGAAGGGGCCGCAGAGATAACGGGGATAGTGGCGTCGGCATGCGACGCCGCGATGCCCCGTTCCCACCCCCGTCAGCCCCGGGCAGCGATTGGTGGTCCGAGGACATCGCGGCACTCCGCGGTGCCTCCGACCGCGCCAGAAGAGCGTATACGCGTGCCCGGCGACGAGACGGGGATGCCGCAAGGGCAAAAGAGGACTACTTTGCAGCCAGGGTAGTCCTCAAAGCGGCCATCAAGAAGGCCAAGCGCGAAGCCTGGGAGCAATTGGTAGGCTCCCTGGACGACGATCCGTGGGGGCGCCCATACAAAAGGATGATGGGAAAGATCCGTCCTTGGGCGCCCCCGCAAACGGAAACGTTAGACCCCCAGGCCCTCGATAGGTTCCTGGACGCCCTTTTTCCAAGGGCGGAAGGGGGCCCTCCGGTGATCGCTCCCCCAAAGATGGGGGAGGAAGACTCGGACGAGGGCCTGGAGGTCACTCCAGAGGAGCTTGCCAAGACCCGGAGAAAGTTCGGGGTCAACGGCGAAGCCCCGACGCGATTCCGGGACGCGCCTGGGCTCTCGCGCTGGCTGAGATGGACCTGTCCACGGCCATGTGCAGGGTCATGACCAGGTGCCTAAGGGAGGGGGTCTTCCCCCCAGAGTGGAGGAGGGCCAAGTTGGCCCTCCTCCCGAAGGAGGGCAAAGAGCCCGGTAGTGCGTCAGCCTACATGTCGACTTGCCTGCTGGACGAGGCGGGCAAGATGCTGGAGCGCATCATTGCCGACCGCCTCGTCCAGCACATGTCCTCGAGTGGGCTGGATCTCCACGACCGCCAATACGGCTTCAGGCCCGGACGATCTACACTGGATGCAATTCAGTGGGTCCGGGACCTGACCCGGGCGGTCGTGGAGATAAGGGGCGGGGTGTTGCTGGCTGTGTCGTTAGACACATCAAATGCCTTCAACACCCTGCCCTGGCCGGAGATAGGACGGGCCATCGAGCACTACGAGGTGCCCGCCTATCTCCGGCGGATAATGTCCGCCTACTTCGGGGACAGAGACCTCGCCTTCAGCAAAGAAGGCTGGGTTCAAGGCAGGCGCACTATGGAGCGCGGTGTCCCGCAGGGGTCGGTGCTCGGCCCCCTGCTATTGGACATCAGCTTCGACCGGGTTCTTCGTACTCCGCTCTCCGACGGCTGCCACGTCATCTGCTACGCAGATGACGCGCTAGTTGTGGCCGAAGGGGAGAACTGGGGGAGGCCCTCTTCCGCACGGAGGTGGCAGTGGCATCGGTGGTAGGAACCATCGGAGACCTGGGTCTTAAGGTGGCGCCCCTCAAGACTGAAACCGTGTTTTTTCACGACGGCAGTCGAGAGGCGTCGCCGGAGACCCAGGTCCAAGTCGATGGCGTCCACATCCGCGTCGGGCCGACGATGAAGTATCTCGGCCTGACGTTGGACTGCCGGTGGTCATTCGGCCCACACTTCAGGCTGCTCGCCCCCAGGGTGCGCAAAGCCGGCTTAGCTGTAGCTAGGTTGATGCGCGCCCAGAGGGGACCCAGGATGGCAGGCTAGCCGCCTGTCGGTGCGGTTGTCTCGATCGCCCTGTACGGGGCGCCTATATGGGCCCCTCAGTTGCTGGCCACTGCGGCGGCCAAGAGGTAGCTGAGGCAGGCCCTCAGGCCCCTAATGATCAGGGCGATTCGGGGGTTCCGCACCGTGTCGTACATGGCGGCGACCACCCTGTCCGGCTCCCCCGCTGTGAAGCTCCTCGCCGAGGAGAGAAGGATTCTCTACTGGCGAGTGAAGGAGATCCGCGAGGGGGAGAGCTGACGGCCAGGGGCCTGAAGGGCCTCATGACCCAGGCCAGAGACCGGACCCGGGAGAGATGGGAAGGCTTATTAGCCGGCCCCCGAGGGTCCGGTCTCGCAACGGCCGAGGCTGTCCGCCCCTGTCTGTCGGAAATGACAGACAGGAAGGGGCTTGGAATGTCCTTCCACCTGGTGCAGGTATTGATCGGGCATGGATGTTTTGGAAGATACTTGCGTCGGATAAGGAAGGAGCCCACCGCTCGGTGCCACCACTGCCCCGAGCAAGAGGACACGGCGCTGTAAACCCTAGTCGCCTGCACAGAATGGGAGGAGCAGCGCCGGATCCTGCTCGGGGCGGTGGACTGCCAAGACGGGGAGCTCTCGCTCCCGCACCTGGTGCGAGCTATGTGCGGGAGCGAGAAGCGTGGGACGCGGCAGCCTCCTTCTGCGGGGAGGTGATCTCCCGGAAGGAGGCCGCCGAGTGAAGGCGCCTGCCCGGCAAACGCCGTCGGAGAGGACGGCGGGGCCGGCGCTCCCCCGGGGGAGGGCGAGTCGGAAGCGGGCCCGAGGTGGAGTCGGAAGAGGAGAGGGCGGAGGCTCACACGGGCCGACGCCTTCCTCGACCACCTCGGGCCAGGCTCCGTCGCTCGGGGGGGAGCGGGGAGGACTCAACCCGCTCCTCTGAGCGAACGGACAGGGGGAAAGGGGAGGTGGGGAACCCGTTTGGGGTCGGGCCCACCTCCCCAAATATCCCCTCTCTTCTCTTAAGGAAAAGGGGGGATAAGAAGGAAGGGTGGATGTCCCCTTTCTCCAGAAGGCCAACCGGCGGGGATACCCGCCGGGGACCGCACCCCTCCCACTAATTCCCTGAGAGGGGAAGGGAGGGGTGCGGTACAAGAAGGCGAGAGGCTCTTGAACTAGAGCCCTGGGGCCGGGGGTTGGGGAGGGAATGCGGGAGCAGTTCCCCTAACTCCCCTCCTCACGGTCCGACAGGTAGACATGTCGCAGGGGTTTTAGTCGGTATGAGTCCGACATAACCTTCGTCGGGGACGGGGGTATCCATGATGGATTTCCCCTGCGTGAACAAAAAAAAGGCCAGGATTATGCCGGACTCCTACCGGCTAAAACCTCCCCGGGTGGCGCTGCGAAGGGACTTGGATCGGAGCCCCGGAGCCTACGTAACTGCTGTCGGGGCCCTGAGTCCAGATGTGCGACCATCACCGTTTTTCCCTCGAAAGGGGGGGAGGGGGAAACGAGCTGAAGCTCCTCTTCAACCACTGCTCCCCTTCCACTCCTCACACCCTGCCTCTCTGGCTGGGAAGGGGGAAGCCGCCAGCCAGAAAAACTGCGCTTCAATAACTGTTCCCAGCCAAGCGGGACGCCGCCAAAGTAATGTTGTGCGATCGGCTGATCCACCTCCTCAGCCGACCGCCCTATGTTTGGAGGGCTGACTGGGGTACTGGGAGTCCACGCTCAGCTCCCCACCCTCCTGCCCGGCAGTTAGGGGGTGAATAATTAGGTGTCCTAGCAGTCGGGCACTCCCAGCTCTTTACAGAGGCTGGGGGGAGTCAGAGATCCCTCTCGTAATGCCCATCTTCAATGGGTTTATATGGTGGGAGAGAGAGAGGGGGGACTGTTGGCGATTTCATCGCCGCACTCTCTCCCCCCCTTATCTTCATCCGACCCCTGTCCTTGGGGCCGGCTGGCAGCTGGGGGTGGATGTAATCCCCCTCCTCGTTCTTCCTACTACTGTTGGGGCAGGAGGTACCGGCGCCACTGCCGTCGCCGTTGCCCCTTTCCTATCGGGTCGCCGCCGCATTGTCCCTTTCCGCTTCGGTGTCTAATGGGCATCTTGGCGTGGTTTCTGGGCCCTTCTCGGTTGTATTGGTGGTGGAGGGGGAGGTGCAGTTTGGGGGGGAGGTGGTGGAGCCACCATCCTCCTGATTATATATCCTCCTCTTGTTATATATTAGCTATATTTGATTTATAATTATACACGAATTTCGTATGGTATGGAAGGCAGATATCGTTAAGTACCTCAATGGGGGCCATCGTGAAACGGCACTTTCCATGGCGCTCGAGCTAGGTTGTGGGCTATTCTCCGCTTCCTTGGCTCTCGCGCCCTTCAGTTGTCTCTTACGCACACACAGAAGCTGGCTGCGGCCTTCCGAGAAAGATGTAGATGGCACCCCTTAGATAGGGGCACACCAAACTGTTCAAGCCACGAACTTTAATTCCCTCTTCCATGTGTACGCATGCCTAGAGACAACTGGTAGGGTGTCCGGCTACGAGCAGGTAAGCTCTTGCAGACCAGACCCCACCTTCCTGTCTTTCTTCCTTGGATGCTATATAGCTTAGTTCTGCGGTTGCCTTATAACATCTTCAACTATGAAGTGTTTGCTTTGAGCCATTGTTTTTGAGCCATTGATTTGCAACTTGTGCCAGTGTTCGAAGTTTACTCTTTCTCTAAATTAGATAGGAATGATGGGTATAAATCTAGTTTATCCCTTTTGCGTCACTAATCAGATGACGAGGCATTTGGCTACCCGTGTATTCTTTCTGATACCTCTTCGCTTGTGATCCATTATTTCGTATGTACCATTGTTTCGTGCATTTCAAGTATTTTCTCGACGCTAGGTCGACATTGCGACCAATCACGCCGGGAAATCGTATTTCGTGTATCTCACATTTCGTCATAGATTACAAGTGGATTACAAGTGATGGGCGAGGCAATACTTTCTTTCCTCGACTTGACTTGTGAAGTAGATTCATAACGCGCACTGCGCCCCGACGGCTGCCAAATCCAGCGCGACCGGTGTTGCTGAGTGCGACTAACACCCTGAGGTGCTCGCCACATAAGATCCAATTCGTCTGACGACACAAACTCGTGGCAATACTGTGATAAAACACCCGCATAACAGATGACATGGCAGCCGGGGGGAGGGGCATTCGCAAGACCCTATCGAACGCGATGTCCCATAGCAGGGGGCCCAAAATGGACCCCTGCGGCACACCGAGTTCCATTAACCGTTGGCCCTGGACCCCGCCCTGACCCGAATAGGCGAGGTCCCTGTCCCCGAAATAGGCCTCCAGGATGCGCCGGAGATAGGTAGGCACTCGATGGTACTCGAGCATCCGCCCAATCTCCGGCCAGGGCAGGGTGTTGAAGGTATTGGTGATATCTAAGGATACGCCGACAACCCCTCTCCTCCACGACGGTGTGGGTCAGGTCCCGGACGTACTGGACGGCGTCCAGTGTTGACCGTCCGGGCCTAAACCCGTATTGCCTGTCGTGGAGGTCCGGCCCCTCTGAGGACATATGCTGCACGAGGCGGTCCGCAACGATGCGCTCCATCATCTTGCCCGCCTCGTCCAGCAGGCAAATCGGCCTGTAGGCCGGCGGTCCGTCAGGCGTCTCGCTCGCCTTCGGGAGGAGGACCAACTTCGCCCTCCTCCACTCCTGGGGAAAGACCCCCTCCTTGAGACAACCGTTGATCATACCCCTCATGGCTGCGGGCATGCTCCCTTCGCCGAGGGCGAGAGCCCAGGCGCGGCCAGAAATGCCGTCGGGACCAGGGGCCTTGTCCTTGGCCCCCAGCTTCTTCCTGGCTCTGGCGAACTCCTCTGGATTGACCCCCAAGTCCTCGTCCCAGTCCTCCTCCTCGGGGATTGGGATCCGAGGGGGGCACATCTCCACCCTCGGAAAGAGGGTGTTTAGGAGCTCTTCAAGGTCCTGGGGGTCCATCGACTCCGTCGGCGGCGGCGCCCACGGACGGATCCTTCCGACCGTCCGCTTGTACGGGCACCCCCACGGGTCTTCATCCAGGGAGTTCACCAGTTGCTCCCAGGCTCCCTTTTTAGCCTCGACCATGGCAGCCTTAAGGGCTTCTCTCGCCTGGAGATAGCCCTCCCTCTCCCTCACAGCTTCCTCGTCGTGTCGCCGGGCCCAGGTAGACTCCCGTCTAACTCGGACGGCAGCCTTTCGCAATTCAGCGATGTGCGCCGTCCACCAGTAAGCAGCCCGGCGCCGACGGGGGTGGAATCGGGGTATCGCAACGTCGCAGACTGACGTTACGATGCCCACCAGTTTCCTAGCCCCTTCCAGGGGGCTAGTTTCCCACTCACCTGCCCTCTCATCAAGGTGCCAAGTGGCTGCGAGGGCGGCCGCCCGGAACATATCCGCATCGAGTTGACTGAGGGCCCATCTCGGTGGGGGGAATCCTGGTTCCCCCCTAGGGCGGCAGTCCAGCACCTGCGGAGGGGCTCGGGGACCGAGGGCCCAGAGAACATATCTGTGGTCAGACAAGTTTTCGCCCTCGGTTACCACCGCCCACTCCCGGAACATCCGGGCGGCCGAAGGAGAGGCCCAGGTCAGATCAACGACCGACTCCCCACTCGGCTACACACAGGTGCTGGCCGAACACCTGTTCATCAACAGGAGGCCGAGTCCCGCCGCCCAACCGATCACGGCGTCGCCCCTCCGGGGATCCCCCTGCCGGTGACGGCAACCCCACTCCGTACAGTGGGCATTGAAGTCCCCGGCAACTACAATAGGTCGGGGGTGGCACTGCCGCACCACGTCCTCGACCTCGTCAAGGATCCCCATTATGTAGGGCAAATCGCCGAGACCGGCCTCGTTTCTGCGGGGGTGCAGATGTACCGCACTATAGTAACAGGCCTCCAGTCAACCGCCACGTACGAGGTCCCCTTCTTCCTACATTTGCAGAGGGGGACCCCGTGGCGGGGTGTGCCACCACGGCCACCCAGCCGTCCTGGCTCCTGAACCAGTCAGAATGGATACTGGGATCCAGGACGGCTCGGCGACCACCCCTAGCCCGGCCCCAGTTCGCGCAGTCCGTGGACTAGGAGATCCTAGGCTCGTCGGCCGGGGCCAGGATTAGCCTATAGGATCCGAAGAAGGGGCGTGAAAGCTAGGCTTTCAGCTCCTCCTCCGGGCTTCTTATCTCTACCCCCTCAGAGGGAACCTCAGGCGACAGGAGTGTCGTACCGGCTCCATCTGGGGGGGTTTCGGCCGTGATGGCTTCAACACCTGTCGCCTCATCGTCGGCTTTCTCCGCGGAGGTGCAGGGAATCCCTACTTCAGTGTCCCCCTCCTCTGGGGAGTATGAGGAGGGGTCCACCATATCGGGAGCCGGAGGGGGCGCAGCCTCCGACTCCCCTTCTTCTAGGACAGTTGGGAGTGGGTTCTTTGGCACCACTCTCCTCATCTTCTCCGCCTCCAGCGATCCGGTGTCTCCTTTCTCCGGATCCTCTGGCTCAGCGGTGTCCGCCCCTCTCTTCCTGGCCGTGCTCTGCTGGAGCGGCTCCGCCTGCTCCGGGTTCCAGTGGACCATGGCCTCGGTTACAATCTCCCCTGGCCATTCCAACTCCATGGGGTTGGATGTGGGGGATCGTCTCTTTTCCCCTTCCAAGTCCCTCTTTGGGGGGAAGCCGTTTCGACCTCCCCCGTCTTTGCGGGGGGTTCTCTCGGATGGTGGGGGAGGGGCCCCTGCCCCCTCTTCAGCCCTGCCTTCCTCGACATTCCTCTTCCCCCTCCTCCCCCGATTCGTCGGAGGTTTGCAGGCCGGCCCACCAACTTTGTAGTCGGCCGGGCCCCCCTTCTCGGTACATACCGCACATTTCGCTGAGGCCGCCTCACAGTCCTTGGTGCGGTGACAGGGGGTACCGCAGCGATAACAGGTATCGCTGTGGTCGGCGGTGTTTCTGCACCGCTGGCGCACGTACCCTCGCTCCAGATACCTGTAGCAAAGCGTCGTGCAAGCGAGCAGCACCACCACCCCGGCGTGGGTCCAGCCTAACTGGATCCGCTCCGTAGTAGCGACCTTAGAGGCCGCCGCCTGCGGACACCGCACCACGACCGTCGCCATCCCTCGCTGGGGTACCAGGAGCTCGCCCACAGACCCCTCTGCGGGCGAGCACCCCTCCCCCCAGCGAAGGATACAGCCACCGTCATCTCCTAGATCCCGATCGTCAGGTCCGGGCCGGTGAGCCACAGCGTCGCGGTCCTCACCGGTCTCTGGACCCGGTACTCGGGGCCTTTCTCAGCCGCCAGCTTGCGGAGCTCCTCCGCAAGCCGGTCTGCTGGTGGCCCGGCGTTGAGACCAGGCATCTCTACAAGCAAGGCCCCCGTGAAGGCCCGGCGGACCTTAAGAGATCTCGGAATCCCCAGGTCCGCCGGCTTGATTCGGCGCCTCGCCTCTGCCATGAGGCCATACTGGCCATATTCTCCGTCAGGGCACGTGAAGGTGATGGCGGCCGACCTCGACGACCTCAGTCCCCTCCTTTTTCTTCCTGGAGATGGACTGGGGAGGAGGACTGACGGGAGGAGAAGCTCCTCTCCTTCCTTCCTTCTTCATACTCTCCTTCTCCTTCCGGCTCCTCACCGTCGTGCATTGTCCCTCCGACTCCTTGATGGACTGGGATCTGTTGGTGGGCCTCTTCTCGGGTCCCTCCAACCTCTTCTCATCCCTCGCACGAGCAGTCGCCTGCGCATACGTCATGACACCTTCCTCCTGGAGGGTGTTTAGTCCCCGTCTCCCCGAGTTCAGCGCAGCCGTCTCCACGCCTCTGATGAATGCCGCCTGCTTCCTCTTCTGCTTGTTTTTTCTTTCGGTCTTTCCTCTTCTGGGTCTTAGTCCTAGAGGCACTGGATGCAGACCTTTCAACCTCCTCCCCCCACCACCGACCGGGTTGGCTAATGCCTTCTCCCTCGGGAGTGGGGCAGGGTCGGGGGGCCCAGCCCGCACCACTGGCTCCGGGGCCGCGCCCCCTGACGTGCCCTTCATTATATTCCCCCTCTGCGACGTGAGCCGATCGAGCTCCTGCGATAGACACTTGTATGTATCGCTCGCAGGAGGCTCGCCTTCGCATCCACAAATGCCTCTATTCCCCCTGACAGTTGATTATACAACTCTCTGGTACTAGCATCCAAACTGCTTATTGCCAGAAAGTCATCAAGCTCCATCTTCTGCCCCAGTACCTCCGGGTCTATAGACCTTCTGCATAGGGGCAGTGGTCTCTTCTCTACTGAAAAGGTCTAAATTACCGTTGTAGACTCTAATATTACCTTCTTCCACTTCCATATCCTCTGTGGAGCTTGCATCCTCCTGAATGGCGGCTTTCACCACTTTTCTTTTTGTTAATCTCCTGGCCTTCTTACGGTTAGGTGCTCCCTTCCTCTCGTACTCCGTATTCGAGTGGCCGCTACCTGATACTACCTGGGCGAAAGTTCTTCTTCCATTTGTGTTTGGAGAAGCGGGAGTGGGACTCTCACTTACAGCCGCCCTGGCTGCGCTAAGCTCCTCTTCCAGCTCCCTATTCCGCATCCTTATTCCATGGAGTTCTTCCCTCATCGCCGCCATTTCCTCCCAGGCTACAGAGGCGTCATCCTCCCCTCCGTCGTACGCTGCGAACCTCGCTAGAAGGGTCGATAGGATCGCCTCGGAGGTATCTACGGCGTGGTTCAGGAGCGCTACAAAGATCCCTTTTAACGTGCCGGACCTACGGGCCATCAGCCGAACCGCGCCGAGTACGCGGCCAACCTTCGAAGCCAGCTCTGCCGACCTAGCCTCTCTCAATAATGCCCTGTTAGGAGGGTCCTTAAAGACCTCCTCGGCAGGGCGTTTGTAGCTCATAGTGCGAATCGTTCCCCTGCCGAGGAGGTCCTCAGCCTCCCTCAACAAGTCTCGTTCCTCCACCACCTTCCTTCTGATTGCCTCCGTCTCTTTCTTTTGACGGAGGCCAACTCCGCCCCCGGTGGTGGGCTTTCTCCCCCTGGAGTCCCTCGGCCGGATCTTTACCTTTGCGAGCTCCTCCACTTCCTTCCCGATAGACGAGGTGGAGCCACCGCTAGTTCCCTCTTTCTTCCCTTTTCCCAGCACTGTGCTGGTCTCACCCTCCCCGTTGACAATTGCCGCGGTTCCTGTACGAAGGAATTTCCCGGTTTTCGGATCACAGATTCTGGACGCCTGAAACAGGATTAAGTCCGACGCTATAACTGGCTTCCCGGGAGTTGTCTTTCCCCGCACATTCGCATACGCGCAACCACCCTTCGCCTGCGTGGCCCCTTTCTTACTACAAAGGGGGCCGGGTCGCGTCGCGCTGAGCGTCTTGGTCGTAGGCCCTGTCTCGGATCCCCAGGCCTCTGACTCTCCCTCGGTGGATAGCCGCCCTGCTTCTTCCCGAGGGCTCATCCCATCTCCCTCGCGGCCGAGGGGGTGCTTCCCGTCCTTGGACAGGAGCCCTTTTTCCTCGTCGCGTGGCCGCTCCTCTTTTCCGCAAGGGCTCACGCGGCGAGCCTCCCGGTGGAGGCCACCCTTCCGGCTGATGGTAGCCGTTCCCGCGCTGGATAGCCGCCTGGTCATCCTATCACGCAGGCTCGTCACGTTGGCTCCCCGGTAGGAACGGCCTTCCTTGCCGCAAGCGGCAGATGTTGGAGACCATCTATAGTCCTCCTTATCGGAGGCAGGAGAGAAGGAAGATATAGCTCCACTGTTCCTGCTCCGGTAGGAGAGTTTCTTCCCCTCTGACGACCCGCCGTCGGTTGACGACATGACGGAGATCGGGACCATGTCCCAGCCAAGATGCTCCGCAGTAGTCCCTTCCACCCTAAAGCCCGCGGTGCACCCCAGGGTTAGCCCATCGTCGGATAACGACGTGGGGAGGACTGGGACGATATCCCTTCCAACACGCCGGCCCCTAGTACTGAGACCTAGGGAATCAATATTCCTTGTTGACACATTTGAATACATCCAATGTCGGATTATTACGAGCCCGACCCACTCGAGTTTGAATTCGGGGTTTTCCTTCCCCTAGACCGGCTGCCTACACAAGGCTGACGAGCCCGCTCTACTCGCGCTGTAAGGACCTTTGGGACGTAAATGTACGACCCTCCAGTCCCTAAATATCGCTTGGATGCAGCTGCCCAACCAGGAATGGACGCTCTTAATAAGGTCCTTCAGTACAGGCCACCCCGGCATGGTAGAACCTGCCACGGGTCGAAACCCCCCCCGGTACAGCCCTGTACGTCACCAGAACCCGCAAACTCCCCCACCACGGCAAGGTGGCGTCCATGGGGGAGAAGGTATGTGGAGGTCCCTAACGGGACTCCCCAGACCCCCCTCTCTCTGAGGAACCGAGGGGGCCACTACAGCACCTGCCCCCCGGAAGACAGCTCCCTTCATCGCTGCATCATGTCCTCAGCGATAGGGGTCGCACCCCGGATCAGGGCTATAACAGCGTCCTACCAGTCCGACAATGGACTGACAGGACGCTGTTTTAGATGTGGAGGGGCCGGTCACGTGACACAGGGGTGCACCGAGGTAATGCGGTGTCCCCTGTGCCAATATGAGGGGAGGAATGCGGGCCACCGCATAGGTGATACCGCATGTAAGGTAGTCCCCCGGACTGCCAAAAGAGAGGGGGTGTCTCGCGTCGAAAGAGGCGGAAGAAAAAGGCGGCACGTGGGGGGGGCTGGGGATTGCGTACAGCCCTAGCCTACCGGCGGTGTCGCCGCTAAAGGTTTCGAAGGGGCTTCGGCCCCGGTCAATGGCCCGGATAAGGCCGGTAAGGTAGTGAGGGGGGTGG